GTGTATTCTTTCATATACATATATATGGGCCGTTCTTACGGTTTATATATTTTTCATCCACTCGCTTATTCCTTACCGAAAATTTTTAATAAAAATTTAACAAGTTTTAACCGCTGATACAGTACAGATGGCTAAATTAATAAGCCTGCCCGGATAACATAAAATCCCAAGCTTGATAAACATTTGGTGTTATAAAAGTTTTATAAAGCTGTACTTGTAATTAGGAAAATGCCGAAAAAAATTATAAAATTGATTGATTGATTGATTGATTGATAAAAATAGAGAGTGAGTTATGGCTATGACAATAGAAACTAGAAAAAAGATACCTCGTGTTGAAAGCGAAAAGGATCTAAACCCAAAAAAAAATATAAATACATTGTTAATCATAAAAAAATTTATGATTCGAAAAATAATTTTAAAATATTGTAAATTTTTTTTTGGTTTTTTAAAGTTAAGGGTAAATAAACCCTTAAACTTACAGTAACGAACAAAAGTATTGGCACAGTAAATTTTACGCAATATAGGCAAAGTATTTTTTAGAAAAATTCCAAGTATGCAGTTTAATAATCCATTCAATTTTAGTTTATCAAAGTGCACGTTTGAAGTTGCTTGAAAATCTGAATATAAAATTGCAAATTAGTATGCATATTTATTGAATTTTCCTGAGTTTTTCACAAAGTTTACACATTTGATTTTTATGTGTTTTAGTGTAGTATGAACTATGTTTTTATAAAAAATTATCGGAAATAAATTAAAAATTTTGCATATATGTAATGCGAAAATTTACTGTGCCAAAACTTTCGACACTGTACATATAAAAAAATACATACAGTAACTTCTCCCGTTACAATAGTAAAAAATATGTAATTTGCTTTGTAGTGCAATCTTGCGGTTCTTTAAATAAAAAATAGATATTAGAAATTAATTTTTCGTATCAATAAGCTCCCAAGCACAGGTTTGTATTAAAAAAAATATATCCGTAACACTTTATTAAATATTAATCTGCATATTTTATCAATTCGTCGGAATATGTTTTTATGTATGTTTGGACTACGTTATCCGTTTTCTATAATTCCTTTTGAAAGGAAAGGTGGTTCCTCAGAGGTAGTCTCCTACTAATTGAGTGTAGATCCGATAATTGGGCCATGAAGAAAATAACGGTACTTTTAAATTTGTATATGAGAATTGAAGTCGGTTTTGTTTTTTTGTTTAAATTTTACTCCAGTGTCCACAGCTTCTATAAAAGAGTCGTAGGCCATATTTTTTTGTTAGTTCAATTGTGGAACATTTGTATGAACTGCTTCGGCTAATACTTCGGCTTTTGTTCTCTTTTTATATCGAGGCTGAGTGCATTGTTCGATGGGGTGATATCATTGCCAAACATGATAGTACTTTGTTTGCCATCAATAAACACTATCTTGACGGAGTTACAGTATTCCACATTGATGCGAGCCTCAAAAGTTTTGAACAATATTTGCGAGTATGGCTTTTAGTTTTTACCGCTCAGGTAGGTGGCAGGCCTATAGAAAATATTTCTTAATCAATAATTTTTCAAATACTTTTCGCTTGACACCTATATTATAATACATACTTTATCTTATTAACTTAATTGAATTAAATTTTCGAAATTGGTGGCAACTCGACTCAAAAATATTTTCAGTAGTAAGCCTTCTTAAACCCTTTTAATTTGATACCCATATTGCAATATTTAATTTATCTTATCAATTTTATTTAACTAAATTTTGAAACAGGTGGCAACCCCCCTCAAAAATATTTTTGCCTGTAAGCCTTCATAACCTCTTTCTTTTGACACCCATATTGCAATATCTAATTTATGTAATTAATTTACTTATATTGTGATTTTTAAACAGGTGGCAACTCTCTATTTTTTCTGGTTTTAACAATCCGGATATTATAAAAAACAAACCAAAAAAATAAAAATATTCAAATCGGTCAAGCTGTTTTCAAGTCTTAGCGAGGCTAACGGACAGCAATCCAATTTTATATATAAGATATCTTCTTTTAAAAATGCGCAGGCTCGAAATTGACTTTAGAGCTATGGTCTAGAGGAATTTTTTTCTTAGAATTTTATGAAGAATCCGAATATGCTAGGAACAATGTCGAAAAAAATCGATCCATACAAATTGACCCGCCCTAATGTATGTACATATATGCAATAACTACCCTGCAGTAAGCCCGGGGCCAGCCAACGCTAAGCCACCATGTACGTCTACAGCGACAATTGCACTAGTGCAAATATCGACAACGGTTTCTTTTTGCAGGAGTACGAACTCGCCATAGACAATGACTGTAGCGTTTTTGTGTGTATATTGTCTACACTTTGTCAACAAGCACAACAGCTGTGCTTCGTCTTGCATTTTCTATTCCATCAGATATTTATTTAAGCGTGCACGTGCGGGCGAACAAAATTTTTACAAATTTTTTTCAGAAATTAAAAGGTGAACGTAAATAATTAATAAATCACATACACATATACATAAGTATGAGTAAACGAAATTATAAAAGACAAATTAGAAAACAATCCATATTATATAACAACAGAGGCCGAATGCCCGAAAGTGATAACGAAAAGGACGCAAATATTTCTGCTGAAATTGCAAATGAAATTTTTGAAAATGAAGGAGATTTTTGTCAGTGTGGAGATAATTTTGGGACTCCAAAGTTGACATTAGTGAACAAATTAAAAAAGTGGTACACAGAAACAGCTCCTTCTAGAGAATGTTTGCAAAAACTGCTTAAAATTTTGCATGATGAAGGCCTGGATGTTCCACTTTCAGCAGAAACTTTGTTGGGAAAACGGGAGCAGATTATTGTTAGAAACGTATTTTCTGGAATTTATTGCCACATTGGAGTGGAAAACCAATTGAAGAAGATAGAAGAAGTGTTAAAAGACTATGACGAAATCATAGTAGACATAAATATCGACGGAATCCCTCTATTTAAAAGTTCTCGCATTCAGTTGTGGCCAATTCTTTTAAAAATCGTGAACATTCAAGAGAAAGTGACACCTTTTCCCGTGGGAATTTATGTCGGGAATGCCAAACCGAGCAACGTCAATATTTTCTTCGAAGATTTTATTAAAGAAGTTCTTTTGCTGAAAAATGGTTTAATTTTAAATGGGAAACGCGTCAATCTTGTTTTTCGCTGCTTGACATGCGACACGCCAGCAAAAGCCTTCGTTTGTGGAGTTCCTGGTCATACTTCGGCGCATGGTTGCACGAAATGCACACAAGTTGCAAAAAAAATTGGCAACATACTTACGTACAGCATTGCTAGTGGTAGTTTGATTTCCGACCATGACTTCACTGCAAGAAAATATCTAGAGCATCACAGTCAAAGCTTCAAACGGGATAAAACTCCACTTGAAGAAATAGATTTTAATATGGTAACCCAAACACCTCTTGATAGTATGCACCTTTTTGATCTAGGTGTTACTAAAAAAATGCTTGTTCGAATACTACAAAACAAGACGGAAGAAAAAACTCCAAAGATCAACATTTTGAAAATATCTTCAGGACTTTTAAATTTAAGAAAACATTTTCCAAAAGAGTTTCCAAGAAAGCCCAGGTCTTTGGACGAAATACACCATTGGAAAGCGACTGAATTCCACCAATTTCTTGCTTTTATGCAGCGTTTTTGCTGCATTTAAAATGCAACATTTAGCACTTTCGAACATATGTTTTCGAAGAGCGTTCATGCTATCGCATTTAGCAAATGTACATTTACGCGAGTTCGAAATCGTATGCTTTTGACAAACAGCCGTGTTCCAGTCGCTTATTCAGATCCGTATCTATTACGATCAATTCTCACGCAAAAGATAATGTGCAAAAACCCTACCGAAAAGGAAAAAATAAATTTTAAACCAAAACTTCAATACAAAAATTTGAATTGTTTTAACCATGGTCGACCATTTGTTTATGTATATATTCATTTGTCGGTGCTGTCAATTAATATTTCCTCACTTAATTAGGAAACAAAACAAACAGAATTGATCACAAATTGATCCAGATTTCTATCAGCATCACATCGATATTGAATTTTCTTAACTTTTCTTTATCCAAATAATGTAAAATAATAAATGAAATCTCGATCGGCGATCACTGAAACGCAGCTAGCCACTATATACTCGAAAATGCAATGTTGCCACTTTTTCTCATTAAACCATGTTCGAATCGTGGAAATGTTGGAAGATCACAGTTTTGCTTTTAGCATTTAGATTCTTAATGCAAAAATGGAGTTGCATTTAGGTGACGAATTTTGTATGGATAAATGTACATTTACAGTAGCATTTAGAGCTAAATGCGCTAAATGTGCTTTTACGCGTAAGCAAAAACAGCCCATTACACAGGTCCCATTGTGCTTTTTAACAAGGTACATGAAAATATTTATTATGAATTTTTACTATTGCACTGTGCTTATAGACTACTAAGCAATCCGCGGCATGTAAACAAATATATAACAGAAGCTAACGATATGATTCAACTGTTTGTAGAAAATTTCCCTATTGTATTTGGTGAAAATAGCGTTTCTTTCAACATTCATAGTCTACTGCATGTGACTTCTTGTACACAAATTTATGGTACCCTTTCATCGTTTTCGGCTTACGATTTCGAAAACAAACTCCAAATTTTGAAAAGTCATGTCCGGAAACCATCTTCGATTCTTCAACAAATTGTTCGAAGGGAAAAGCAAAAATCATATGTAGCACCCATGGAAAAGAAATTTAAGTTCGAAGGAGGCATACTAGTAGGAGCTTTTGTGAATGATTGCTTCATATCTTGCAACGAACATAATAAAATATGTTCTGTGGTATCAGATATCCCTGTAAAAATCGAAAAAATCATAAAAGAAGACGAAATTTATGTTAAAGCAAGACGCTTATTGCTTTTCACGAGTTTTTTTGAACAACCCGTAAATTCCTGCGAATTGGGTATATTCAAAACAAATTTAGCTTTAGGAGAAGTAGAAAAATTCGCAATTAAAGATATTGAATACAAGTTTGTGTGCTTACCTTTTGAGTCTGATTTCATAATTATGCCAATTTTACACAGCTGCCTTCCAGAAAAATGTCGAACGAGCGGGCTCAATGTTCAAAAGGAAAACTAAAATATTTCGCTACTACAAATTGTCCTGGCTGTCGTGAAATTTCAAAAAAGCTTGAAGTATATAAAGGTATGTTGCTTTAAAGACTTTTAAAATCAAATATGTAGTCAAAATATGCTTTGTTTTGATTAGTGTTCACTGCATAATACTATTATTTATTATTTCAGATACCGTTGAAAAGCAACAGAACACTATCATCGAGATATTGGCGGAGCACAAAGTGTTGTTGGACCGTCTTCTTTCCCAAAATGTTGCAGTGGAAAACATTATGAGCATTTTTCCTATAAACTCAGATGAAAAATTAAAGGAATTTGACAATATTTTAGCTACTAATGCGGATCCTTATGTAAGTGTATACCGTAGCTGGAAAATAGAATTAGCACAAGTTATTCAATTTAAAAATTTTTTAGAAGCGACAAATGCAACATCTTATTGCTGGCAATGCAGAGCGAAACTTACATCAAATATTTGGCCAAAATATAATAATAAACTATAATGTTGACGGAATCAGCGGAAAGAAACGACTACGAGATTTATGCAATGTATTTTCCGTAATTATAGGTACACAATTTTTTTTACTACGGTTAATTTTTAAATCGTATTAGTTTTTAATAACAACGTATTTTCTCCTTATAACCAGATGTCATATCGACCTTCAGCAAATCATCAGACACAACTTTGAGAGCAGCTTTCCAACGCCAGAAGAAAAAATTCTTCAAGCAAACAACCCGCATTAAAACCCAAAAAAATAAGGAGAACCGAAATGATGAAGAAAATGAGACTGAGAAATACGAGGAAATCGAATTGATTGAAGAAATTGATGAGACTTAATATATAAAAACTACAAATACTATTTTTTAGATTGTAAGAAAGGTTTAGCTAGCCTTGAAGAAATATGCCAAAAACCAAGTACCTTTTTTTATTAAAAATAACTATCTACAAGACATTTTTATCAACAATATACATATCTGTGTTTCAATTAATTGTATTACCCAAAGGTATAAAAAAGTGTAGACAATAAACATTAAAAGGTAGTAGAGAATCTCTGGTGCCAATGTCGCCATATGGTCCCAAAGGGAGTACTTAGTCAATACCTCTGGAGAATTGCAATGACAAGCACATGTGAGATGTCTATAGCAAATAACATTGTGTGTCGCATATCTTGGAACTAGTACTGGTGACAAAGTCAATAGCGAATCGATAAAGTTTCACTGTCGACATTTACTGCAGGGTAAATACAAAACGAATGGCTGCAATGAATAAAAAAAATAAAAATGTTTTTTAATTGAATTGCATATGAAAATTTACAGAACAAAATATTTTTCACGTAATAGAAACGTTTGCATACATATAAAACGTACAATATGGTACAATTGTCACAAACGAAAAGCAAACGTTTCTCGTTGGGGAAAATGACAGTGAATCTTACAATAGGTGCAATCCCGTATTCCTCGGACTCGGACTAGTAAAACTGTCAAAAAATAAAAATTCGCTCAGAGCGAGAGAGTAACATTGAAAAGTACGGGATCGCTTTCTAGTAAAAAATGGTAACTTCTGTCAACTTCAACATAACCTCCAAATTTTGGTTGTAAATTGTTGCTTATTTTGTATGTAAACACACTCAGCTCACACATGTAAATAACCAAAAATACTTTCAAATTCATTAGAATTCACTTAAACAAGTAATTAAATTCTTTTCAACATGAATTAGCAGAGTGCACTTTTCTTTTGTTTACAATTTGGTCGCTGATCGTTTGACACATTTACCAGAATTTACCAGCAAAAATTCTCGGACTAAAACTGGTAACTTATGACAGAGAGAGAACGGTATTTACTCTCTTTTTTGTCCTCTCAATAGTCAGAGAACCGAGTACGGGATCGATTTCCAGTAAAATCTGACTGATTCTGACTAGTCGGGACTCGTACGATTTCGCAACTAATTTGTTTCTGACTATGTACAAAACTGTACAAAACCACAAATGATATGATGATCGATGAGCAAATGGGAATTGTTTTGTACAGTTTATTTTCGTACCCTGCACACCAATTCCGACGGTGAATAACCCCAAAATACTCGGAGTAACATTCGACAGCCTGCTCTCCTTCTCTGCGCATGCAACCGCTATTGTCAATAAAGTACGGAGCCGCAACAAGGTCCTCAAGTCGCTAGCCGGCAGTACTTGGGGCAAAGACAAAGAAACGTTGCTGGCAACATACAAGGCAATAGGCCGGCCTGCTTTAAACTACGCAGCGCCATTGTGGTCGCCGGGGACTAGTAGGACGCAGTGGACGAAGCTACAGACTGTACAGAACACCGCAACTCAGGACAGCGACAGGATGCATCCTGATGTCGCCCGAACATCATCTCCACAGCGAGACACAAATGCTCCCCATTAGGAGCACAACATAATGCTCTGCAAGCAGTTCCTGATCGGGAGCCACAGAAGTGGCCACCCAAACAGACAGCTGCTTGCAGAGGAGCCCTCGCCTAGGCACGTCAGGAGGCATCTATATGAACTGACGGACGAAGTCCAGAGGTTCATCAAGCAACCTCTGGACCCGTCAGCTTACCGACTGGCCCTGAACGGCATTCACAGGGAGTCAGTCTCGAGTTATGTAGACTCAACACCTGTGAATGCCGTTCTAGGCATACCGCCCCCGGATATAGACGAGACGGAGCTTCATCTGCCTCGGGAGACACGAACGACAATAGCCCAACTTCGCTCTGGCTACTGCAGCAGGTTAAACTCCTACCTGAGTAGATTGAATGAGGATGTGCCAAATGAGTGTCCGGCATGCGGAAAGACCCCACATGACTCGAAAAATCTCTTCGCATACCCGGAAAACCCGTCAACCCTAACGGCTTTGTCCTTGTGGACCAACCCAACAGAAGCTGCACGCTTCCTAAGGCTGTCGTTAGTGGAACTTGACGACAACAACTGAGATACCAACCGATCTGGGCGGGGTTGTAGCCGCTACAACAACAACAACAACAACCCTTTGTCTATCAGATGCATTGCACGATGTTGTTGTGGGCCGATAGAGCCTTCTTGACGATTGTGATGCTTTCGCTTGTGCTGCAGTCCAGAGCTTTAGATGGATGGAGAGTTCTGGATATTGGGCAATGAAAAAGGATGTGTTCAATGTCCAATTTGACCAAACAAAAAGTACAATTGAGTGGGTCCATTCTGGTGTAGTGGTGTTTAGTGGAAAATAGCGTTGTCTGACTCTAGCAAGTGTAACACATTCCTCACGGGAAAAGTTGGGATTATAGTTCGGTCTTGATAGTGTTGTGTTGCGAACCCTTAAGGCTGATTCACATACAACTTTCTTCGCTTTGCTTGATAGTTCTTTGCTTTGACATATTAGATCGATGTAGGCATATGCATGAGTATGCTCACATAAAAAACGTTTGAAGCAAAGCAAAGCAAAACGAATCAATATCTTGGGCAACTCTCAACTTTTGCCCGCTTTGGCAATCAGCTGTCTACATGTATCTTTTCTCGTGCGCTTGCATTTGCATTTAATGACAATCTCAAACAACAACAATTGTGAACAATTTAATTTTTTTATTTTCAATTTTATATGATTTTAAAATGTTGGCAAACGTCAGAAAAAAATCATGGCCGACGAAATGAGAGAATGAATTTACCTTGTAATGTTTTTATCATGGTTTAGGGCTTTTTTGGCAAACAAATAAATAGTTCTTTAAAATTTCCAAAGTTAAAGCTTTCCCATTTGGCCGCAAAAATGTTTTGTATAAGGAGAACGTTCTTTCTACATCAATATTGGGGATTGGGGCGTACTTGAAGCAAGCTAGTTCTTTGGGATTATAGCTATTAAGCAGGGATCACACGACTTGTACATTTGTACGGATTTATACATTTTGACAGTCACATAATCGTGTTGTTTAGAAATTTTAGTTCAGTTTTTTTTTTGGGTTTAAAATAGATGGCATAGACTATGTTCCTCAGTCGCCAGGTTATTCCTCCTTAGTCAGCTTTCGTCAAAAATCCAGTGTTTTCCGCTCAATGTTCTTAGATAAGTTGTATTTTGTTTAGAAGTTTATGTGATACATTCGGCTGATGGATGATCCACACGTAACGTTTCGAAGCGAAAAGTGATGATAGCGATGAGTCAGCAGGTATCAGTAGCGATTGCAATTATGATAATTGCAGTAAACCGATAGGTGTGCGTATTTGGACAAAATGTAAAGTGAGGACGTACTTCACCGGCGGATTGTGTTGGAATGAATGAGGTGGAGTCGATTATATGTATAAAATTTACACAATAAATGATACGAAAAGACAAAAAACATAAATGATATTGAAATGATACATATAACATATGTAACGTATTTGCTGCAGGTAACTATTTAAAATGTAGAATTGTCTTTTTGAAAGAAATTTGCTAAATCAGTGATTTTGGCCACATTATTATTTTTGAAGATTTCCCAAAATTGCATGCTTCGAAGACTTCGTGGCTGGATCTAAGAGTGGATAAAAAACGGCAGTGGAAAGTTTGGTGTTCGTAGCCATCCGGAGCTCCGCAGAGACATAGAGACGAGTTCAGCACTTTGATCTTGACAAGGAATGGCTTGTCGTAAGTGTGTCCCGTAAGGACTCTATTCAAAGTTTCGATTTCTTTTGGGGCTATTTTGAGCTTCTTGATCCACGAAGTACTTCTCCTTGTAGGAAAAGTAGTAGCGAAAATATTTTTGTTGGAATTTGAATAAGTTAAAAAATTGTTATAACATTCATCCTACATCCTATTTTTAGTCAGTTTGCATGCTTCGTCAATTTTTAGTTTAACTGTTTTACTGCTACTGAGTTCGATCGATTTTTTGGCTAGCTCATCCGCCTTGTCATTACCTGGTATATTCTTGTGACTGGGAATCCATCTAATTTGTACACTGCGAAAGAGGTTCTGGCTTATCTTGTTGTGTATTCTTACCGCTATACTATTGTTGGATTTTCTATTTTTGAGAGTTTGACATGAAATTAAGCTATCAGTAAAAATGACTAAGGAGAAATATTCATTGTGAGTGGCTATGTCAATTGCTTCCTCTATGGCTAGCAGTTCACCGAAAGCAGACGACGATTTGAAGGAAATATGAAAAGAGTGTCCAGCGTTTGTATTTAGAATAAAGATTCCACAGCGAGTTTTGTCTTCAGATAGAAATGCATCAGTGTACATGATGGTATAGTTTCTGTCCAAATAGTCCTCCACAATTGACGCATGTTGGGTTTTTATGCGTTCCACTGTCATGTCAGTCTTTCGAGTGAGGGTTGTTTTTCCTATGATTTCTAAGTTGGTGGCTGGTACATGCCGGGGAATTACATCAACACCTTCAAAAATGTCTGCAAATTTGTTGTACACAATAGGGTAGCTGGAATTAAGAAAACGGTTTGATTTGATTGAAGTTACTATTGGGTCTTGCAAGGCTATCAATTTAATTATTATTTGGCTGGTGAGCCATTTTGCTCTTTCCGATGGAGGGAGCTCATTTGCTATGATGTATAAAATTGGAATTGGGGTGGATGGGGTGACACCCAGGCATCTTCTCAGAACTTTGTTTTGCAATATTTGAATCCTACTGAAGGCAGATTTAGGACTATTGGCAAGAGTAGTGTTGCAGTACTCGATCTTCGATCGCACCATTGCCATATATATATTGAGTGCTTTATGCGGGTGTAGGCCTGACTTTATATTGGTTATAACTTTGAAAAGGTTTAAGTTTTTGCTGGACATCTCTGTTACACAGTTATAATGATCTTTTTAAGTGAGAGAGCTGTTAATAATTCTACCTATGACTTTCACAGAATTTGTTTGTGCAAGCCTTGTATTGTTCATATTTATATTAACTTCTTTTTAGGGCCTTTACTAATATGAAAAACTTTGGTCTTTCTCGGGTTGAACTTGAGGTTTAGGTGATTACACTTGGTGGAGAAGAGATTAAGCTT